TATGTAGCGTGCCTTTTAAACGGCTCTGAGACGTTAACAATGAAGAATGCCATATAAATAAATGCAAGTTGTTGTTGTTCTTTACATACAATAACAATACATTACATTTGTATAGTGCCTTTCATGTCTGGAGGACGTTACAACGTTTTAAAGTGCGCTATGGAAACAACGTGGAAACTCGAGCAAAATAGAAAAGTGGGAAGTGTGTGTGTGTGTGTGTGTTGGGGGGGTTGGGGTAGGGTGGGGGAGTGGGCGTGGTAGCAGGAGGAAGTTGCACAAGGCACATGAAAGAAATAGGTTTTGTGAGGGAACGTGGAGAGGACGGGTGTGAGGTGATGGAGTTTAGGCGAGAGGCATTTATTGTCTTACAGACTTGGTTGAAATAAGCCCTTTTTCTTCCTTACTCCATGTAAGGACTGTGAAAACACATCAGCTTACTTCGTTTGCACTTGAATATGATTGACAACTGATCATGTCAGAAGTATTTTTTTNAAGAGCCCTGGCAAGGCTCGCAATTGACTACTGGGCTTCTTCATCCTTTCTCACAGCAGGTGACAGACAGGAGGTCTGATAGCCACCAGCTTGAAAGGAAGACAGAGGTGTAGCTCTGCACCATTATCTGCTGTAAAACAGAAGCCAGGATCCATTCACAGATGTGGGATTCTTCTAATGCGTCTAAATTACTGAACATTTACTCAACATGGTTTTGAGCGGGTGTACTCGCACATGTGTTATCACTTTTCCCTTAACAGACATCAAACGTTTACTCAGTGTATGTACGAACAAAGAAAAACAGCAGTTGGAGTCCTGGCCTGGATCCACTGCCAGATCTTTAACTCTATCCTCCGCCTGGAATGTTTGTTACAGCTTTAAAAATGCACCCATTTATGTTGCTACAGCAACCTTATCAATAATTTTCTGTAAATTTGTGACATTATTATATATACATATATATGGTGGAGCAATGTAGGTGGAATTGTTCAGCATTCTGAGAGCTGTAGTACAATGTAGGATAACACAGATATTTATAACATCCTACAGAACAAGAGGGAATTCCTTGCCTCGATCAATGCCCTTCATGGCATTCTTAATACTTAACAAATTGCAAGAGAACCTAAATCCTTATCAAAGCAAAACATTCAAAATCCTGAATTTATACCTCAAAGTATAATTCTCCCTTTTTTCAGATGAACTGTTCCACTGGATGACGTCATGAGTTGTGCAGATAATCCAAGCTTCAGCCCGTGGGACCATCAGAGGACCAGTCCATTTGAAGCAGGGGTGGTGAAGTCATTTCAGTTTGATAATAACTTTACATGTTTGGGATTTCAAACTTTGTGTGCTGAATATTGAATAAGGGACATATCACTTGATACTATTCAATAACATTTATCATTAATAAGTACGGTGGGTAGGTATACTGCGCTGGAACCTGATTACCAAGACAGATACAAAACTGAAAATGATGGGTTAGGAAGCACATGCCAGCCTGGCTCAGTTGATCGCACTCCCACATCTGAGTCGAAAGGTTGTGAGTTCAAGTTCATACAGTTTAGGCTGACACTCCAATACAGTGCTGGGGTAGACCCTCATTTTTCGAGGTACTGACCTTGAACTGAGCCATTAAACCAATCTGCTTGTTTGGGTGGAGGTTACATAATCCCATGGCACGATTGGAAAAGAGAAGGGAATTTCTCTTTGTGCCCTGGTCATCATTTTCCCAAATAAAATGAGTTTGGTTGCTTGTGTGCTATTGCTGTGTGCTAATTGTCTGCCTATTCAACAATCACTACACCACACAATAAATTCTGTGAAGCAGCTTCCTACGAAATCACATTAAGTCCTCCCGATGTTATATGAAGGATTATTTTTTATTATTTAACACATTATTTCACACCTTTACATACAAATGTAGGGCAGAGCTCATCTACTCAGAAATAATCCCTTCAAAGTTCTTAAGTGATCATGTGGATACCCCAAACAATATTAAGGATCAATTTTAATGTCTCTGGTCTAAATCCTGGCCAATATGATTAGGAACAGGTGGAAATGAGGTTTCCCACTACAAATCGATTTATTGCTGGATGCAAAATCACTCTGTTTCTGGTTGTGTAACCTGTGTATTAAAGAATAAGTGCTGGAGAGTAAATGGGGTTGATAATAATGTAAATTATTCCATTCGGGTGCTTGAGATCACGGTCTAGACTGAACATTTCCTTACAGTAATAATAACCCTTGCATTTAATACAGTGCTTTATCAGATCATCAAGAAGTCTCAAAGAACTTAGAAGGATATACTGTAAAGTGATATGGCTGTATGTATTTTGTGGGCGAAATACACAAAGCCATATCGCTTAATGGCACAACCTGAACTAGGAGAGCTCTGCGTCGTCCGAGATTTAGGTGATGAATTCCTCAAGTGAAATTAACAATGTGTACTAAATAAATATTGTCTGCCCTTCATATCCGAAGATGGCTGTTCATGCAATGTGAACACCTGAGTGTGTAAATAGTGTAGAAGCTGGTGCCTTCAAAGCAACCACCCTCTTAGATAGCAAGTAGTATGACAACAACAAGACAACAACAAGATTCCATTTATTGAGCGCCTTTCACGTCGGGAGGACGTCCCAAGGCGCTGTACAGTTGGGTCAGGACCCGAGCAGGGGGGAAATGGTCAGGGTAAGGGGAGGGAAGGGAGGGATCGAGGAGGGGGTAGAGAGTCGAGAGGGGAGCTGAAGGCACGGTCAAAGAGAAAGGTCTTGAGACCGGCCTTGAAGGAGGAAAGGGAGGAGGCGGCGAAGGCACTGGGGGACAGAGTTCCAGAGCCAGAGCCTTGACCTGGTGTCAAGGAATATCTAAGAAGATCAGACCACTTACTATCCACACTGGCAGAAACCATTACCCCAGGAAAGCGATCTGCTAATTGACTACTTACTTCCGCTAGGTCAACATAGGGATTTGGAATAAGAAAACTTGATCTAAGATCTCACGCTGCCCAGGAATCAAAAGCGGGTCCTTTTCCTTGTTAGGCAAGCTCGCTGACTCCTAAACTTCGGGACTCCTCAACAATGTAAACAAACAATCCGAACTCATAAGTATAGTGTCAGTGGACATTGTTGATGTCATTCACTCAGTGCTAATGCTGAGCTCCACTGACGCCTCAATTGGTAAAGCTAGTGCCTGGTGTTGAACTAAGTCATGGAGACAAAGAAGGTCCTTAGTTCAAACCATGGTTTGTGTTGAGTTTGCTTATCTCAGCTAGTGAGGCAGTAAGCATGCTTAAATAGGAGTCAGCACTCCTGAATTAAGGAGGGGAACAAAATAAGATCTCGATCACTATGCACCAAACTGTAAAGTGCGCATATAGAGATAATGAATCCCTCTCCCCCACCACTCCATTGAACAGCATGAGTTCTGTAGCTCAGTGGTTAGAGCACTCGCTTTGCCAGTGAGAGACCTGAGTTCAATTCCAGGCAGGGCGAAACCTTGGGCAAGTTTCCTTACTCCACACGCCTAATAATAATCCCTCCAAAACCAAAAACAATAATAAATTGGTCATTTTCAATCTACGACTGTTTGTGGGACATTGCTGTGCACAATTGGCTGCCGCGTTCGCCCACAAATATACAGTCAATTCACTTTACAGTGTGTTCTGTGAAGCGCTTTGGGACGTCCTCCCGACGTGAAAAGCGCTATATCAAATGCAAGGATTATTATTATTATGAAGATTTGCCTCTTGGATTTGGTAGTGGAGGGTGGCTCAGACACCTGTGGAAATGTATCTCAGGAAGAATCAATGCCTTCGGGACAGAAAATGGAAAAAAACAAACCCCCAAAGGATGTAAAATCTTACATTGAATAGACAACCAGGAATGGCTCAATTTGGTGGTTCTCTTCAGCCTCTCATCCCTCATATCTGAAGATTTTCTCCTTTTCTATTCAAATGAATGTCTTTATTTTGATCAAACTTTATAAGACAATTTTATTTGTCCTAGGAATCAGATTTTGGTTTGAGAATACAAACATGTTTGCTTTGCCCAAAAAGCAGTCACTATACTTGGTAATAATTACTGTAAAGTACTTTGAGACATTGCAATGTGATAAAGTACTGTAAAAATGTATTTTTTTCCTTTCTATTTAAAAACACATGGATACAAAGAACTCTGCTACATTTATGAATCAAGCTTTTATGAATTTATGAATCTTCCTTTTAATTTCTTACATAGATTTCAATGGAAAGATCGCTCTTTTAAAGCATTCTTTGTATTTTCTCAATAAACTAGTAGATATGCAGTAACTTAGAGGACTTGTTCACAGATAATTCATTCGATTCAGTGAGACACGGACAAAGCAACAAAACTGATTTGTTACACCTTCACTACAATATACACAGTCACAACATGCTCAAAGCACCCATTGTGATATAATGTACTTCACTAACTATTAACAGCTTGCAAAAGGGTATCACTTTGGGATAAACAATACAGAATTTTAAGTGTATTGGCTTAAGACAGCAAGCTTCTAAAGTACATTTAAAGTACATCGCAGTGGGATCCTGTATTGTACATAAATAATATGCTGTTGCTGTATAAGTAGTTCTTATTATTAGGCATCAATAACATTGGCCATATTACATTTGTCTTAGCTATAATTCTAAACTATGTCTACTTGCACAGAGAAACGTGCCACAAAGCCTATATATATGCAGTATCTTAATGACATGCACTCGCAAAGAAAAAGTTACGGAAAGTTGTCACAGATCTAAACTAAAGTAATGGGAATAATACACTGTATTGCAGAGTTAAATGACATTGCTGCATTTACTTTTAATAAATGAAATCATAAACTCAGCTCTGCTCCACTCCGCAACATAACAGTGCTGCACAATTTCCAGCCCTTTCAAGGAGAAAAAATTCCACCACCGAGCTCCTAATATCTTGTGCTGTAGCAGACTCGTACTGTGTAAGTACTTACAAGCAGAAATTCAAATGGAATCTTACCTAGATTGCAGGCAGGCACAGAAATCAGTGACATCTTTGAGTGCATGATCTGATCATAGTCCTGGTGCAGTAGCTGCTATAAAGATCCCCTCTGTTTGTCGTACAGAGACCAGTAACCTATTCTAGGCAGTTTTGCTCAATGTGGTATATTGAGAATACACCCACTCCAGGAGGAATGAGACTAAACTGAACCGAATCCTGTCAAGTTTTTTCCCAGCGTCTCCTGTCTCCAAAATTCAGACGAAACTAATGTTTTGTGAAGGGGCCCAATGACCAGGCCCAGACTGGCTGGAAACTATTTCCTGCCTCCAAGTAGTATATACATGTGTGAGTGAATGCATGAGAAAAAAGGCGAAAGAAAGTAAAGGAATGCAAAGGAAGATACTGTAAGGAAAGCCGAGCAGTCCTCCAAGGCATCATAGAGAACTTTGTGAAGGCAGCTTTTGCCACTCCAACCAGCTAGAATTAAAAATAACATAAACATAAGGAATGAATGAGGTAGAAAACACATCTCAGTATCAAAGACTTGCTTTAAATTCAAAACGGACTTGACCTTATTGTGGCAATCAAGACATTTATTCTTTAGCGGCACATTAAGCAACATGCTTTCCGAAGGCAATAACGTATGTTGTTACCTTTCCTGAGAATCCTCCAGGGCAACAGATAACCACCAACAATGTAAATTCACAAGGACAAACTCCATCTTGAGCATATTAGAATTTTTGCTGACATAAAACACGCAGCAGCAGAGCTTTCCAGTTTGACAGAGTGCCTGAATCAGATCCCTGGGACTGCCCACATCTTATGTATCCACAGTTATGAACAGACTTTCTTAAACCATCATCTGTTTATCTTTTTCCCCCCTTTTTTTTCCTCTCTTGAACAACTTCCTCTCTGTTTCTCTGAGCGACTTTAGCCTGGGAACTAAGTTCACCATTTGGTCTTGATTAAAAGCAGACAAGCACCTTTGTAAAAGCCAGAACCAAGCTATTGCAGATCAGTTTTTTTACATTAATTAACATGCAGTTCAGTAGTTGTCTGTAACTAAATAAGAATCTCAGCACAACATATCATACGGAAAAACGATGCAGCTTACATTTCTTAAAAATAATCCATTAGAGTTACATGTGGAAGGATGGAAGCTAATTTTTTTTCTAATGTGGGTTTAACTTTTACAAGCCATGTAATGATATTTTGAATTAGACTCAGGACTGTGTATTTCAGAGGTGCCCCACTTATCACTCACATGTAAGCTGCAGAGCTCAGAAATTGATGAAACTGTCACTGGCTGTGTGACGTTTCGCAGGGAGCAAAATAGTAGCTCGACCTGCTGACCAAAAATATGCTAAAGGCTGCAAAAAAATTACATTTAGAAAAAGCTGCAGGAGAGAGAGAGAGAGAATGTGGGGGAAAAAAGACAATGTGTAGATCACAGTTATACCACAAACAAAGCTTAGACTTGCTTTATCTTTGTTTAGTTCCCTCAATAATGTTTTTTCACAAAAAGTGAATTTGTTCCAGCAATCTTAATTGTCGATCAGTCACCTTCTAAACTTTGACCTATAGGTCGGGGGGCTATAAAAAAAGCAATATTCAAAACGTCAGACTGTAGTGCAGCTTACAAATATTGAGAAAATGTGCTTCAAGTTGTTATTTAAATTAACCAATTGATTACATCCTTTTAATTTTGGAAACAATTTGAAAAGTTTTATTCTCCGCCCTCCTCTCAGCAATTGAACTTTGCAACTGCAAATGGGTGGGAGGGAGGCCAAACATAACATAGCACAGATGGCTTAGCACAAGTAAGCAAAGAGTAAAGGAAGAGCTCAGCTATCTCTCAGTTAAAGTAGGATCTTTTGTGAAAGCGGTTCAAAGGAGAACATGCGCAAGATGATACGCCCAAATGAAATTGTTCAAATAAGCTTTTATTTAAATTTAAAAAATCTTCTCTTTCTCTCCTACCCCTTCTTTTCTGAATTATGTTTGATTCATGCTGGTGGTAAGCTTGCACAAACACTGGTCGCCTTCCGGGGCTCTGCACAAATGGTCATTATTCATGTGTAGGGACGTGACAGTGAGCGTCAGCAGCCGATTTTATCTTCACCCAACATCCACACATGCGCTCCTTCAGCAGAGATCATTGGAAAGCAATCAGCAGAACGGACCCTGACTGATTTTCTGCTCCTTAACCTGGGAACACTGAGGCCAATTGCAGTACCTTTATTGCCATCCCGGCTAAATCAGCTAATTTAGCACAGACCAGGGATTGAACCTGCAGCATTCCTGTTCTGTACAGTCAGCTACTCACTGGATAAACTCCCTGAGCCATTGGGAAATGACTCCCAGGTTGGCTTTAAAATTGAATAGAACCTCATGTTTAAATTTATGACATTGGCAAACTGGATTTGAATCACTAACTGAGACTTGAAGGTTGCAAATGTCAGATTGAGAGATTCACCGAATAGCAAATCACCATTTTTTTATTTATGTCCTAATCTAGCCTAGGAATGGGCCAGGGAGCAGAGAGCTCAGCAGCGTGAGGAGGGAACTGAGTGAGATGGAATAGATTGAAAATTCTGTTAAGGAATTTGGTGAGAGGGGAAAGAGATGCAGAATTATGAAATATATATTTATATTAAAATAATATTAAACATGTCTGGGAATATAGCAGGGCAGCCGAGACCAGTTGCATGCATAATGTGTGCCATGTGGGAACTCCAGGATGCTTTGTGTGCCCTGGACAGACACGTGTGTAGGAAGTGCCTCCGGCTGCTCAAGTTTGAGCTCAGAGTTTTTGAGCGTGAGGAGAGGCTGGTGTCACTACATAGGATACGGGAGGCTAAAGAAATCGAACGTTTCAGGAGATGGTCAACCCACAGTCACAGAGGGTTCAGAAGGAGAATGAGTGGGTGACCACCCGGCATGGTAGGAAGAGGGAGGAAATAAAGGCAGTGCAGAAATCCCCTGAGAGTGTGGCACTCACAAACTGGTTCTCTGTACTGAATACCAGTCAGGGTGATGACACCTCTGGGGAGGCGAGTCAAAAACAAATGGATGTACAGGGGGACACAGGGAAGAGTGTCAATGCAATTGTCATTGGGGACACAATGGTGAAAGGAATAGACATTTCTGCAAAGACGTGACTCTTACATGGTATGTTGCCTCACTGGTGCCAGGGTTGAAGACATCACAGAACGGGTCCAAAACGTTCTACAGGAGGAATGGGAACATCCAGAAGTCATGGTCCATGTTGGGATACATGACATAGGGAAAAAAAGAGCTGAGATCCTACAGGAAGAGTATCAGAAGCTAGGGAAAAAGCTAAAGAGTAGAACCTCAAAGATGGTGATCTCTGGATTACTCCCAGTGCCTCGTGCAAATGAGTATCAAAACAACAGGATCAAAAACATGAATGCATGGCTAGAGAGTGGTACAGAAAGGAAGGCTTCAGGTTCCTGGATCATTGGGACCAGTTCTGGGGCAGGTGGGACCTGTACAAGGTGAATGGGTTACACCTGAACAGGGCTGGGACCAATGTCCTCACAGGGAGGTTAACTAGTGCTGTGGGGAAGGGTTTAAACTAATTTTGAGTGGGGAAGGGAATCAGGATGTAGCATTAGAGTTAAATAGAAGGCTGGGAGAGACGAATAACAATTTAATCAGGAGTAATCCAGAAAAAGGAGGGATTGGATGGGGGAGAAATTCAGAACAGCCTAACAGTCTTGGAGTGCATGTGCATAAATGCACGGAGCGTGGCAAATAAGATTGGTGAGCTGCAGGCTCAAGGTGCTACATGGGGTTGTGATGTAGTGGCAATAATGAAGATCTGGCTCAAACAAGGGCAGGAATGGGAGCTGAATATTCCTGGCTAAAATGTATTCAGTAGGGATAGGGAAGGAAATAAAGGAAGGGGTGGCAATATTGATTAAAGACATGTATAAGGCCCTGGAAAGGGACTATATGCTATAGGGTCCATAAACAGAATCAATTTGGTTAGAGTAAAGGAGCTTTTACTCTGTTAGTGAATATATAGACCGAATAGTGGGAAGGAGATAGATGAGCAAATTTGCAAGCAGATTTCAGAAAGATGTAAAACCAATAGAGTAGTGATAATGGAGGATTTCAATTATCCTAACATAGACTGGCAACATAACAGTGTAAAGGACAAGGAAGGGGAAGGATTCCTGAAATATGTGCAGGATAACTTTCTGGATCAGTATGTTTCCAGCCCAACGAGGAAAGAAGCAGTGCTGGATCTAGTTCTGGGGAATGAAGTGGAGCAAGTGAAGCAGGTTTCAGTAGGAGATTATCTGGACAACAGTGATCACAACATCATTAGGTTTAGAGTACTTATGGAAAGGGACAAGGAGTAATCAAAGGTGAAGCTACTCAACTGGAAGAGGACTAATTTCAGTGAGTTACAAAGGGACCTAGCCAAGGTGGACTGGAAAGAAAGATTGGCAGGTAAAACAACTAATGAGCAATGGGAAGCCTTCAAGGAGGGAATATTTCAGGGACAGAACAAATACATTCCCACAAAGGGGAAAGGTAGGGCATCCAAACCTCCCTGGATGAGTAAGGAAATTGGGATTAAAATAAAACAGAAAAAGGAGGCTTATGATAAATGTCAGGTCCAAAATACAGAAGATAATCAAATAGAATATAGAAAGTATAGAAGCGAACTGAAAAAGGAAATAAGAGGGGCAAAAAGATTGTATGAGAAAAGATTAGTGGGTAACAAAAAAGAGAACTCTAAGATATTTTATAAGCATATAAAGGTTAGTTAAAGGAGGGAGGGTCCAATTAGGGACCGAAGAGGAAATCTTCTTGTGGAGGCAGAGAGCATGGGTACTTTGCATCTATCTTCACAAAAGAAGAGGATGGAGCCAATGCCACAGTATCGGAGGAGAGGTTAGAGAAATTGGATAAGATAGGAATAAACTGAGAGGAGGTAGTAAAAGGGTTGTCGGTGCTCAAAGTAGATAAGTCATCTGGTTTGGATGGGATGCATCCTAGGTTACTGAGGGAAGTAAGGATTAAAATAATGGAGGCTCTGGCCATAATCTTTCAATCCTCCTTGGACACTGGGGTGGTGTCAGAGAACTGGAGGGTTGCAAATGTTACTCCTCTGTACAAAAAAAGGCAGAAG